AACTACCTACTGACGTCATCCACAATTGTATTAAAACCACTTACTGACGTAACCAACAATTGTATTAAAACTACCTACTGACGTAACAAACAATTGTATCAAAACTACCTACTGACGTCACCTACAATTGTATTAAAACTACCTACTGACGTCACCCACAATTGTATTAAAACCACTTACTGACGTAACAAACCATTGTATCAAAACTACCTACTGACGTCACCCACAATTGTATAAAAACTACCTACTGACGTAACCAACAATTGTATCAAAACTAACAACTGACGTCATTCACAGTTGTATCAAAACTAACAACTGACGTCATTCACAGTTACATCAAAACTAACAACTGAACTGACGTCATTCACAGTTGTGCTCAAATTAACCAATGACTTTGCCTACAGCCGTGTAAAACATTCACACTGAGGTGCCCACAGCTGTGACCTATGTGTTACTAACGAATTCCATAATAGTGTTAAATGTTTATTGTCGTTCTTTTTTTTCCATTTACACTTCAACTCATTCACCCCTGAACTTTCATAATGAACTATTCCAACCTTTGAGTTGGAAGAGTTCAAATGTGTCTTCATGGGTGAATGAGTTAATCAGATTAACCGACAAAACTGTTTAGAGTCTTCTTTGCTTTTCGGCGACATGATATTATGTTTTCTTTGCTAGAAATTTTCGAAAATTGTCAAATTCTAAATAATGAGTACAAGGTAATGGAAGAAAAGAGTACTACCGAGCGCCAGTGAAAATCGAAATAGTAGAAGATATTGTTATTTTATCCTGACGGTGAAGACGAATATCACGCAGGCCTATAATGGTTAAATTTCATATAAATTGATCATACATGGCAGCGTATTTAACATGAGAATCGATTTAAATGGCTATACAAGTACTTTAACCTTTCCATCTGTATATATATCGAGCCTTTAACGTAAACGTAGTTAAAAATGATCGTTTACCTAGACGAAAGTAAATAAATGGCTGGAATATAGCAAATTTACATAGAGCAATAAAAAAAAGTTTCGAAAAGAATAAATATCTGGCAATTTTCCAAAACACTTTCGCGGTGTGATTGCTTATCGTGGCTTTCAAATGATATGTATTTATGGAAGCCGGATGAAGTTTTTACAAAAACGACATTGCTTGAACCCAGTTTATATCTTGGATGATGTATATTAGTTACGTAATTTTTATTTATTTTCTGTTTTATTATTTAATGTCTATATCCTTTTATCATATCCCGTTCGCATAATCAAGATCATAAATCGTGATATTCCTAAGGAAACATTCACTATTTGCACTCCAAAACATTCCAGAACAGATACACGTCAATTCAATCATATTTTCACGAAATGTATTGACATATTGTATATATGATTTGTATCTTACAATGTGTCTATACATGAATATTACTACAGTGTATACGTAGTAGCTAAATAAATATGAAGTGTTATCTGAGATTTCAGTGTCTACCATAATCACCGTCTTACATCGTAGTTAACAAACAAACGTTCCTGGATTTGACAGGGGGACATGACGGGTGACACAAGACGTGGGGGCATTCTATCTTTATTCTCTTCTTAGTTTCTGTTGTTGACTTTCATATCAGATTTTGTCTGTTTTAACTGTTTTTTGTGGGGTTTATTTTTTTAGTTTGTAGCCTATTATTTAGCGTTATATTTCTTTACGTGATCACTACAATTATGTAATGTGCCTTTAATGACGCTGCTAGTATAAAAAAAAAACATGAGTTCCGAAGTGTTAACAGAACCAAATTCCAAACTCAAATTCGATAAAACTATGGCAACATATCAACAAGGGAAGTGTTTACATGGGAACCATTGAGAACGTACAAAGAGAAAAAGACCACGTGTTCCGGAAGGGTAAGCGTATTCTGCTAGATCAACGACATCCACCATATCAATATTGGTCAAACCTAAATAATGTCACGCCCTCACAAACCACAAGGCATACTAATGAGCATTATAATAAACGAAAACATCCAATACATCCGCAGGTTTGTAGGGGTAATACAGCTTATTCACAGTTTATCGTTAGCCCGTATATGTTTAATCCATGAACACTATCAAAATGTAAAGAAATTTCAATTTTGAAGTTAAAGATTCATCAAACGCATTTTATGGCATGGTGCGGCGTCCGTCGTCCGTCCGGCGTCCGTCCGGCGTCAACTTTTTACTTTAAACAACTTCTTCTCAGTAACCAAAAGGCCTAGGGCGATGATATGCATAAGCATGCTGGGATAAAGGCCTACCAAGTTGTTCAAATAAATGACCTTCATCCATTTTCAAGGTCACAGGGGTCAAATATGTTAGAATCTTTAAACAACTTCTTCTGAATAACCGAGAGGCCTAGGGTGATGATATTTGGCCATTAACATGCTGGGGTAAAGGGCTACCAAGTTTGTTCAAATAAATGACATTGACTTAATTCAAGGTCACAGGGATCAAATATGTTAAATTTTAAACAACCTCTTCTGAATAACCAAGAGGCCTAGGGTGATGATATTTGGCCAGTAACATGCTGAGATGAAGGGCTACAACGTTTTTTTAAAAGAAATGACCTTGACTTATATTTAAGGTCACAGGGGTCAAATATGTTTAAAACCTTCAAACAACTTCTTCTGAATAACCAAGACGGCTAGGGTGATGATATTAGGCCAGTTACATGCTGGGATAAGGGCTACCAAGTTTGTTCAAATGAATGACCTTGACATGTATTCAAGGTGACAGGGGTCAAATATGTTTAAAACCGTTAAACAACTTCTTATGAATAACCAAGAGGCCTAGGATGATGATATTTGGCCAGCAACATGCTGGGATGAAGGGCTCCCAGGTTTGTTCAAATAAATGACCTTGACTTATATTCAAGGTCACAGGGGTCAAATATGGTTAAAACCTTTAAACAACTTCTTCTGAATAACCGAGAAAGCTAGGGTGATGATATTTGGCCAGTAACATGCTGGGATGAAGGGTAACCAAGCTTGTTCAAACCTTGACCCACTTTCAAGGTCACATGGGTTGAATATATTTAAAATCTTTAAAAACTCCTCTTCTGAATACCCAAGAGGCATAGGATAATGATATTTTGCCAGTAACATGCTGGTATGAAGGGCTACCAAGTTTGTTCAATTGAATGACCTTCGCCCATATTCAAGGTTACAGTGGTCAATATATGTTTAAATCTTTAAATGATTTTGTCTGTATAACCAAAAGGTACAGGGTAATGATATTTTGCTAGAAGCATGCTGGGTTGGAAGACTATAAACTCTGTTCAACCTAATGTCCTTGTTCGACATTCAAGGTCACGGGCGTCATATGTTTAAATCTTTTAATAGGTTCTTATGAATCAAACACTGATATTCTGCCTGTAGTTGTATTTTAGTTCACTTTTAAGATAACAAAAGTGAGATTAATACCAGGTGAGCGATTCAGGACCATTGGGCCTCTTGTTTTATTTTATTAAATGGTATCTGTCAAAGCTTGCATGAAATGCATAAATCAATATTCCATTAGTAAAGCGATAGTTGTCTTTGATTAATGACGAAGGTTTTTTTTTAATGTGATTCGTGTTAAAACGGATAGTGTCGTCACAAACAATCTGACAGATTCCATAAAACATAAAATCGTATACAGTAACCCTATGTTAATTATGAGCCGAATACAGATAAATTTAAAAGGCAGAGGTAATTTCAAACGCCGAAAACGAACGGATAAAACTTGTTTGAAGCATGAATGATGACATCCATTAAATCTAAATCTGTTGCTTCCCATAATAAAAATAGACAACCATGCAATCGCTCTTTTTATGTTCGTATTCCCTCCGTTGATTTAATGTATTTTTTTGAATTCCAGATAATATTTACATTTATCAAGACGTACCTGGTATACACCGTAAACTGTTAAAGCTTTTAACTGAAACCATTAGATTATTTATGGTTTTATGATTACCACTCTAAAATTGTCACGTTTTAACGAATGTAGTCCTGAGTAGATAACGTGGTCCTGTAGCTAGTTCTCCTTCTGGTAACAATTTAAGTATATTCCCGAGCCTTTGGTCACGGATCGTAGGTCTTCGACTGATCCCCACAGCTGGATTGAACTGGCTCATTTACTGTTTAATAACTCAATCTTCGCGGTCACTTATTTTCGCGTTTGAACTTTCAATTTATTCGCAAATTAACACATTTTAGGGAGCAGAATGTAAACATACAGCTACATGAATGTACTTGCATGCACCTAATACATTTTCAGTTGTATATACCCAAGTTCAAGTTCTTTGTTACCTTGGGTCTTTTGACCCATCGGTTTCAAAAGTGAGATATATTTACAATATTTACAGACAATACAATACAATAAATACAATACATACAATACAATACCAGCAAGCAAACCAAGTACGAATCTAATAACATTTTATTATATGTGGGATTATATAACTTACCAACACATGATGATAAACAACCCTAACATACCTCAACATTCATACATTTAATTTGACACTCTGCTATGAAACCTATTAACTGTTTGTACTGACTTTATTTCACCTATTTTCTAAAAAGTCGATCTTCAGAATAGAAACAGCTTATCATGGAATTTATACAATAATTTACAAGTGAAATAATACAGATATAAAACGTTTCTGATAACCATTAAAACTTCAGGTTTATACATTTCTGATATTCAAACTTCAATAAAGGCTGTGCAAGATTCACGTCAAACTCAACGTTGTTAGTTATAACTTGAAGTTATAATTTAACAACTGAGCATCCCCCGTAGCGTCTGTGCCTTGGTATGGTTTTGGTTTATAATACATTTTCAAATTATCATTTGAATAAACGCTCTTTCATAAAATAAATAAATGTGACACTTGATCAGTCCTGTAACCACTGCAAACAAAATATTAGACCTAGTTAAGCATTTTCTTTGTAAATTCCACTGTTGATCTTACGTAGCTGTTTTTGTGTTTTCCAGGACAATCCTTCCGACCACAATCTCTGGACTCTCCCAAGACCTCGATACAATCTTTTGACAAATGGCAGCGCCTTAGTTACAGAGCGTCCAACAAGTCGCTTGACAGGGCACGTGAAAGTCTGGAGAAGCAGACGATGACGGACAACATGCGTCGAATGATCATTGTAACATAAGACTTCGAAACATTGTACCTGTCCAAACCGAACAACACCGGATTCTACTGGATTCTGTTTACCCCATTCACACCTGAAGACACATTTGAACTCTTCCAACTCACATTTTCAAGTGTCAGTACAATTTTAAAAAGGATAACACTTACCAGTAGCATAGAGATTATCGTTATGTGTGGAAACATAATGGAGCATCAGAATTAATGGGACAATACCACCGACCAGTAACACATATATATATAGCACGTGTGGGTTGGATGAAATAAAAAGGGGAGCAACGTTGACTAACGTTAGTAGGGGAGTGAAAAGAATGAGAATAAACATATAATCTAGAGTATCATCAGCACTGGCAAAAATGAAAAAGTGATTATTTGAACATGGGGAATATTATGTCATAGACTTAGAATAACATTTTAAAGCATAATTACTTAATGACAGGGACAGCAACATAACCAGTGTTACGTGGAGTAACATATCGGAGAATATTCATAAAATGAAATTTAAAGATATCAACATTGACTAGCAACGCAGTGTTAAGTAGCATCATGAATGAAGGAAGAGGTTTCAGACTTAGTCCAAAATTAGTACTCTTTAAAATTTGTTCGTGCAAGGGTCATGCGTGGACGATTCTGAATCGTCCACGCACGACTCTTGCAAATTCTATTTAGCGTCTTCACAGTGACAGCGCCACACATAGGTATATATAGATGTTGATTAAAAATGACTGAAACAGATTTCTATAGGGATGACCAATTAGCATTGCTCTTGATGACCCATTAGCATTGCTCTTGTTGATGAATATACATGTATTTATATATAAAATGTTTTTGTTTTGAATTTGTATTTATTTTATAAGCAATCTGTGATAAAGAACGATAGTTTTTATATGGCACATGTGCTGTACAATTAGTGTTCAATTGCACTTGGGATAAATAGTATCAAATTCCCTATGACAGCCTTGTCGTTATGACAAGTTGAAAATAGTTTAGAAACATCATTTCTAATAATATCTCATTTCGTAATTTTCGCATTGCACATTTAAACATACAAATGCAGTATATATTAGACGGATTTGTAAACAAAGCTCAACTCTTTCCATACTTCGGTCAATAATACTTAACGCCACAAAATCATGTTGTATCTTCATTGACTCAACGACAAAGTGAAATTTTCCATTTGAGTGTTTCCTGGCTAAATTACGGAAGATGTTTTGCAAAGAAACAGGTTGAATGAACTGAATGAAAGAGTTGCTTTGTATATTCTTCTATTATAGCATCAGGTCTCACTCGGTGTATTCATTACAGTAACAAGTATGTGTTTGTCTTGCATCGATCATTAAGAATGTGTATAAGTATATTTAAACTTTCCTATAATATCTATCAGTAGGTGAATAAAGATAATCAAAACCATTTTGCCTGTCGTAATTTGTTTTATTGTTCAAAGCAACAGAAATTGGCACATATATCTTCATTAGTTTTACGAGACACATATCCTATGTAAAACACTCGTGTAACGGATACTGAAACAACTTACTTGAGTTAAAAAGTTTAGTTTCTTGTCACATAACCTCATTGTCATTTTGGCCGGTGAAACAGTCAGCAAAATACATACTATAGCTGCCGAAACAGTCAGAAAAAAAATAAACTGGATCTGTCAAAACAAACGGCAAAATACATACTATAGCTGCCAAAACAGTCAGCAAAATATAACCTGTATCTGTCAAAAAAGTCGGCAAAATACATACTATATCTGCCAAAACAGGCAGCAAAATATAAACGGTATCTGTCAAAACAGACAGCAAAATATAAACCGTAGCTGCCGAAACAGACAGCAAAATATAAACTGTACCTGTCAAAACAAACGGCAAAATACATCCTATAGCTGCCAAAACAGTCAGCAAAATATAAACTGTATCTGTCAAAACAGACGGCAAAATATAAACTGTATCTGCCAAAACAGTCAGCAAAATATAAACTGTATCTGTCAAAACAGTCAGCAAAATATGAACTGTATCTGTCAAAACAGACGGCAAAATACATACTATAGCTGCTAAAACAGTCAGCAAAATGTAAACTGTATCTGTCAAAACAGTCAGCAAAATATAAACTGTATCTGTCAAAACAGACGGCAAAATACATACCATAGCTGCCGAAACAGTCAGCAAAATATAAACTGTAGCTGCCGAAACAGTCAGCAAACTATAACCTGTATCTGTCAAAACAGTCAGCAAAATATGAACTGTATCTGTCAAAACAGACGGCAAAATACATACTATAGCTGCTAAAACAGTCAGCAAAATGTAAACTGTATCTGTCAAAACAGTCAGCAAAATATAAACTGTATCTGTCAAAACAGACGACAAAATATAAACTGTAGCTGTCAAAACAGTCAGCAAAATATAAACTGTAGCTGTCAAAACAGACGGCAAAATATAAACTGTAGATGCCAAAACAGTCAGCAAAATATAAACTTTTACTACACATGATTACTGTGAAAGTTTAGAAAGACACAATTACTACACAGGATTACTGTGAAAGTTTAGGCAGACACAATTACTACACAGGATTACTGTGAAAGTTTAAGCAGACACAATTACTACACAGGATTACTGTGAAAGTTTAGGCAGACACAATTACTACACAGGATTACTGTGAAAGTTTAGGCAGACACAATTACTACACAGGATTACTGTGAAAGTTTAGGCAGACACAATTACTACACAGGATTACTGTGAAAGTTTAGGCAGACACAATTACTACACAGGATTACTGTGAAAGTTTAGGCAGACACAATTACTACACAGGATTACTGTGAAAGTTTAGGCAGACACAATTACTACACAGGATTACTGTGAAAGTTTAGGCAGACACAATTACTACACAGGATTACTGTGAAAGTTTAGGCAGACACAATTACTACACAGGATTACTGTGAAAGTTTAGGCAGACACAATTACTACACAGGATTACTGTGAAAGTTTAGGCAGACACAATTACTACACAGGATTACTGTGAAAGTTTAGGCAGACACAATTACTACACAGGATTACTGTGAAAGTTTAGGCAGACACAATTACTACACAGGATTACTGTGAAAGTTTAGGCAGACACAATTACTACACAGGATTACTGTGAAAGTTTAGGCAGACACAATTACTACACAGGATTACTGTGAAAGTTTAGGCAGACACAATTACTACACAGGATTACTGTGAAAGTTTAGGCAGACACAATTACTACACAGGATTACTGTGAAAGTTTAGGCAGACACAATTACTACACAGGATTACTGTGAAAGTTTAGGCAGACACAATTACTACACAGGATTACTGTGAAAGTTTAGGCAGACACAATTACTACACAGGATTACTGTGAAAGTTTAGGCAGACACAATTACTACACAGGATTACTGTGAAAGTTTAGGCAGACACAATTACTACACAGGATTACTGTGAAAGTTTAGGCAGACACAATTACTACACAGGATTACTGTGAAAGTTTAGGCAGACACAATTACTACACAGGATTACTGTGAAAGTTTAGGCAGACACAATTACTACACAGGATTACTGTGAAAGTTTAGGCAGACACAATTACTACACAGGATTACTGTGAAAGTTTAGGCAGACACAATTACTACACAGGATTACTGTGAAAGTTTAGGCAGACACAATTACTACACAGGATTACTGTGAAAGTTTAGGCAGACACAATTACTACACAGGATTACTGTGAAAGTTTAGGCAGACACAATTACTACACAGGATTACTGTGAAAGTTTAGGCAGACACAATTACTACACAGGATTACTGTGAAAGTTTAGGCAGACACAATTACTACACAGGATTACTGTGAAAGTTTAGGCAGACACAATTACTACACAGGATTACTGTGAAAGTTTAGGCAGACACAATTACTACACAGGATTACTGTGAAAGTTTAGGCAGACACAATTACTACACAGGATTACTGTGAAAGTTTAGGCAGACACAATTACTACACAGGATTACTGTGAAAGTTTAGGCAGACACAATTACTACACAGGATTACTGTGAAAGTTTAGGCAGACACAATTACTACACAGGATTACTGTGAAAGTTTAGGCAGACACAATTACTACACAGGATTACTGTGAAAGTTTAGGCAGACACAATTACTACACAGGATTACTGTGAAAGTTTAGGCAGACACAATTACTACACAGGATTACTGTGAAAGTTTAGGCAGACACAATTACTACACAGGATTACTGTGAAAGTTTAGGCAGACACAATTACTACACAGGATTACTGTGAAAGTTTAGGCAGACACAATTACTACACAGGATTACTGTGAAAGTTTAGGCAGACACAATTACTACACAGGATTACTGTGAAAGTTTAGGCAGACACAATTACTACACAGGATTACTGTGAAAGTTTAGGCAGACACAATTACTACACAGGATTACTGTGAAAGTTTAGGCAGACACAATTACTACACAGGATTACTGTGAAAGTTTAGGCAGACACAATTACTACACAGGATTACTGTGAAAGTTTAGGCAGACACAATTACTACACAGGATTACTGTGAAAGTTTAGGCAGACACAATTACTACACAGGATTACTGTGAAAGTTTAGGCAGACACAATTACTACACAGGATTACTGTGAAAGTTTAGGCAGACACAATTACTACACAGGATTACTGTGAAAGTTTAGGCAGACACAATTACTACACAGGATTACTGTGAAAGTTTAGGCAGACACAATTACTACACAGGATTACTGTGAAACTTTAGGCAGACACAATTTCTACACAGGATTACTGTGAATCTTTAGGCAGACCCAATTACTTCTCAGGATTACTGTGAATGTTTAGGCAGACACATTTACTACACAGGATTTCTGTGAAACTTTAGGCAGACAGAATTACTACACAGGATGACTGTGAAAATTTAGGCAGACACAATTACTACACAGGATTACTGTGAAAGTTTAGGCAGACACGATTACTACACAGGATTGTGCTTTTATACTTTTATACTTTTCCTGCTCTTTCCAAAGATGTTCTTGGTTAAATGAATGTAATCTAAGAAACTGACCATGTGAGAGTCATTATGTACATGTAGTTACGGAGGAAATGGAAAGCTATCAACAGAAGTGGAATTGGGGTTACTAGTTGGACTAGCTGTATTAATCTTACAATTCATTTCACACATAGGGCAGTAACTAATTCACTAATGATTGACCACATGATGCCCTGTCTTGTAAAATAATCACACTTTTCATCCTGTAACAAGACTTAAAATTTAACATAAAGTCAAACATTGAACAAAATAATAGAAACACAGACCTGGAGTGGATGTCTAATTCAACAACACAGACACGGAGTAAATGTCTAATTCAACAACACAGACCTAGAGTGGATGTCTAATTCAACAACACAAACCTGGAGATGATGTCTAATTCAACAACACAGACCTGGAAATGATGTCTAATTCAACAACACAGACCTAGAGTGAATGTCTAATTCAACAACACAGACCTAGAGTGGATGTCTAATTCAACAACCAAGACCTGGAGTGGATGTCTTATTCAACAACACAGACACAGAGTGGATGTCTTATTCAACAACACAGACCTGGAGTGGATGTCTAATTCAACAACCGAGACCTGGAGTGAATGTCTAATTCAACAACACAGACCTGCAATATATGTCTAATTCAACAACCCAGACCTGGAGAGGATGTCTAATTCAACAACACAGACCTGGAGTGGATGTCTAATTCAACAACACAGACCTGAGTGGATGTCTATTTCAACAACACAAACCTGAGTGGATGTCTAATTCAACAACACAGACCTGGAGTGGATGTCTAATTCAACAACACCGACCTAGAGTAGATGTCTAATTCAACAACCCAGACATGGAGTGGATGTCTAATTCAATAACACAGACATGGAGTGGATGTCTAATTCAACAACACCGACCTAGAGTGGATGTCTAATTCAACAACACAAACCTGGAAATGATGTCTAATTCAACAACACAAACCTGGAGATGATGTCTAATTCAACAACACAGACCTGGAGTGGATGTCTAATTCAACAACACCGACCTGGAGTAGATGTCTAATTCAACAACACAGACCTGAGTTGATGTCTAATTCAACAACACAAACCTGGAGTGGATGTCTTATTCAACAACACAGACCTGGAGTGGATGTCTAATTCAACAACACCGACCTAGAGTAGATGTCTAATTCAACAACCCAGACCTGGAGTGGATGTCTAATTCAACAACACAGACATGGAGTGGATGTCTTATCCAACAACACCGACCTGGAGTGGATGTCTAATTCAACAACCCAGACCTGGAGAGGATGTCTAATTCAACAACCCAGACCTGGAGAGGATGTCTTATTCAACAACACAGACCTGGAGTGGATTTATATTTCAAAAACACAGACCTGGAGTGGATGTGTAATTCAACAACCCCGACCTGGAGAGGATGTCTAATTCAACAATCTAGACCTGGAGAGGATGTCTAATTCAACAACACAGACCTGCAGTGGATGTCTATTTCAACAACACCGACCTGGAGTGGATTTATATTTCAAAAACACAGACCTGGAGTGGATGTGTAATTCAACAACCCCGACCTGCAGTAGATGTGTAATTTAGGAACACAGACCTGAAGCGGATGTCTATTTCAACAACCCAGACCTGCAGTAGATGTCTAATTCAACAACACAGACCTGGAGAGGATGTCTAATTTAACAACACAGACCTGGAGAGGATGTCTAATTCAACAACCCAGACCTGCAGTGGATGTCTAATTCAACAACCTAGGGTAGTAGTGTACAGTAGCGTACGGTGGCCATGGTGATATTTTTATACAATGAATAATCCATGTAATATTACATGTATCAAAGATTAAAAAACAAATCAGCACTAAAATTGGCATATACATGATGAATCGGACTATGTGGGCTTCGCATTGAAAAACAAAACAAAATCGAATTTGGTTTGAGACTACATTTTTGGCCAATTTCAAATCTGTGTCTGCACAACAAAAGCTAGCTTTTCATGCAGTCTATTTTTGTACTTAGCACATGTGTAAATATTGTGAAAAATCCAGTTGAACGACCTATGCTTAAACGTGAGTATTTCTGTTACCGAGTAGATGATATTCAATTTAAGACAGGTTTTAAGAAAATAATTACTACTTGCGTGAGTCAAATCTTGGGTTAAAAAACATGTTTTTTTGCGTTTTTTGATGTGGTAACCATGGTTTTCACAATTCCCAAATCTGTGGAAATCACTTTTTGAAAAAATACATTTTCCTAAAAAAACTATTCAAAATGTAGTTTGTAAATATATATATTTATGTAGGTGTGTTGTGCAGGATAAATCCGATATCCATGTTTATCTGAGATATGCCCTTTATTTTTAGGATCAAGCCATTTCTACTGTACTCTGCTACCTAGACCTGCAGGAGTGGGTGAATTTGTTCTGAAAAACACTAACAGGAAATCTTTCAAAATCACAATAAAAAGAAGTCTTTAATTTCAATCTGGAAATAAATACGAATTTATTTGTATGAACACAAATCGTTCTTACATACTTCTGTAACATATATTTTGCATTAAATACCATTATGAAGTCTTTGCACATAATTAATTTTTCACATAATAAAATTGTTTCATGTGACATGATGATTCATTTTAAATATTAACAAGAGGCCCATGGACCTTAACGGTCACCTGAGTTATGTAAAAACTAATATTATCGATGTTGCCAAATTAAAAAGAAATCATTTTGTAACAAAGGTAACTTGAACTACATGTAATGCAAAAGTAGTGTGAAAAGATCTGGGTAGTATATATATATGTACTTTGTACAAATAGTGGTTCTATCAGTCAGCTGACACGACATGTCCCTTTAGCTAAGTGGTAGAATGTTGGCCTCTGGAACCTGAGGTCATGGGTTCGATCCCAGCTTTGGCACCTCATCTTTCCACTTCTTTCTTACCTATTACAGTAGAATGAGCTGTTGGATTTTTTTGTTTTTGTTTATTTGAGTAAGGTTACTGGCTAAAAAGAAAACAACTGTCCTATCAAATATCTAATATACCCCCCCCCCCCCCCCCCCCTGCAAAGGGGCAAAAGTGGAGCCTGGGGGTCATGAAATTCATTATTTTGATAAAGCACCTGAAGACCCCTTCATCTATGAAGATTATTTGTTTTCAGCATATCTGAGTCTAGAGAAGAATTCCAAGATGGCCAAAGCCCAAACTGTCATAGTATCAAACTGTCATTTCAAAGTTATAATGTCTATCAAGTTTCAATGATTTCCAATTGGAAATGAACAAAATATACCCAAAAGTATCATTTTTCTATATAACTATAGTAAACTTTACCCCATCCCCAGGGGATAAAGCGCTTTTTTAGCCTATCCCCAGAGGATAAAGCACTTTTTTAGCCCATCCCCAGGGAATAAAGCGATCAAGACCATTCCATCTATGTAGATTACTTGTTTCCAGCATATCTTGGTCTGGTTAAGATTTTTTAATTTAAGCCAATTTGACCCCTGTGAATTGCCCCTGGGGAAGGGGTGAAATTTACTATAATTTATATAGGAAAATGCAACTTTCGGGTATATTTGGGGCGCCCCTCAGCCTTTTAGGGTGGGCCTGGGTGGGCCCGGGCCCAAACTGTCAAAGTATCAAACCGCCGTTTCATAGTTATAATGTCTGTCAAGTTTGAATAATTTCCAATTGAAAATGAACCAAACATACCCAAAAGTATAATTTTCCTATATAAACTATAGTAAACTTCGCCCCCTCCCCAAGGGCAAACATGGAGTCTGGGGGTCATGAAATTCACAATTTTGATAAAGCATCTCAAGACCGTTCCATCTATGATGAGTATTGGTTTCCAGCCTATCTCAGTCTGGAAAAGATGACTGATGAAATTTCTGGCTATATGACCGCATTTGGGTTCCGCACCTCAGCCCCTTGGGATGAGACAGGGTTAAAAATGTCAAAGTATCAACCTGTCATCTCATGGTATAATGTAAAGTAAGTTTGAATGATTTCCAGTAGAAAATGAACAAAATATACCCGAATGTTGCATTTTCCTATATAAACTATAGTAAATCACCCCCTCCCAAGGGGCAAACGTGAAGCTCGAGGGTCATGTTATTCAGAATTTTGATAAATTACCTTAAGACCCTTCGACCTATGAAGAGTATTGGTTTCAAGCATATATATATATATATCTGGGTCTGGAGAAGAAGATTTTTAAAATTTCAGCCAATTTGACCACTTTTAGCCCCGCCCCTCAGAGCCCCTGGGGGTGGGAACCATATAATTCACAATTTTGGTGCATATTTGACCAAGGAAAGTTCCTGCATTTTTTTTTATTGAAATCGGATCAGCGGTGTTTGAGAAGAAGTGGAAAATGTAAATTGCTTAAGGATGCACGACAGACGACGACGGACAAAAGGCGATTAGAATAGGTCACTTGTGACTTCGTCTCAGGTGACCTAAAAAATACCTCTTTATCCACAAGTTATAGCCACTTATTATATCACTCTGAAGTCAAATGTATAATAAAATGAAACACTTGAATTTCATTTTGAACTAATTTGCTATAATTATGAATGATAAACTTTTTCTTAAGAAACTGTGGGTTTTATAGTTTAAAGATCCCTGTCCCACTGCAGGAAAATACTAGAACTGTAAGCCAAAGGCTTACTAAGGCAAAGCATTGCAAAGCAATATAGTCTCCTACCAGTAATGATTTCTTTATTGACTGAGCTGTACACTTAATTAAGTATATATGTCACTCACATACTTCCTGTACTCCCTCTCAATGCCAAAACATACTTGCAAACGAAATGTTGTTAGCCTAGATGAACCAGTTTTGCTAAAATCATCCTAGAAGTAAAGGAAGGGATGTCAGGACAAAGATTTTTAACAAAGAGACATAACTCCTTAAAAAGGGTTGAAATGAAAAAATACTACCATGATGCAAGACATCAGGGGGTTATTACCATATCTGTTAACTTTCAATGAAATTGGCCCAGTAGTTTAAGAGGCAGACAAAGCTTTTTTCAACGAAGGGCCATAACTCCTTTTGAAAGGGTTGTAAATAATACCTGGTGGTAGTCATCATATCTGGAAAGTTTTATTGAAAATGATCCATAACTTTAGAAGGAGTTGTCCGGACAAAGAGTTTCAGGAATTTTTTAACAAAGGGCCATTATATATATATAACTTCGTTGCGGGGGTATAATGAGTGATTCCTCTGTGATTTTTTTATATACAGTTACCTCCCCCTCATCATGCTTTGGATATAACTATAGCACAAATGGGCCAGTGCTCTCTCCATATGACCACTTTCAATTCTCATCACACTCACAATTCAACAGCACAAACCCTAACATAATATGAGCATTTTGACATTAAAGAATCATTTAATATGTATCTTGATATATAGAAGTATTCCCCTGTGTTGCTTTAACTTTCCTCAGAAGGATCACAATGTCAGTAGGAGTAAGACCCGGTATTCGACTGGCTGCTGCTATCTGTAAAAAGGACAAGAATATTTCAATCAAATAACAAGGTCAACAAGTAAATTTAAATCTTTATTTGTAAGATTTTCCAAACAATTTCTTTTTGCTTCAGTTATCAAGTTTTCAATGCTGTTTATGTTGCCGATACCCCCTACAATGCAAATCCTTCATCAATACTAGAGAAAAGCAAAAAAAAAAAAAAATAGAAAAAAAAATCACAAGATATGTCATTCAAATAATGTAATTTACACAATCTTGTTATTCCATTCTCTATTTCATGAATAATTTGTTATATATAACAAATATAATACATAATAGTAAGTAATGGCCGAGTGATTTAATAAAACCTTTAATTCTCCACTCGACTTACCGTTGAAGGCCTGGCTTGGGACAAAAGATCTCTGGAGGCATTTGATATTGATTCTATACTGAAATTAACCAGTAAAAAGTGAAATAAAATGAATATTGAAATGAGACAGCTGAAGCTGTATATATACAGACAGGTAGAACTGTACACCATTACAGAAACTTCCACTGCTCTTGTATATATATTCAATGTAGGACAGTTTATACTTTTCATGTTTTTCTATATATTATAGGGGTAGTACATGTATTTTGGAGCTTAAGCTCGGGCACTATTCCTCCATAAACAACACTATAGACCTGTTCCCAAAGGCAGGGCCTCAATATATACATTCTGTTTCATGGGAAATTTGGACATTACACAAGGTACATGTAAAGTCCTGCAAGGAAAAAAACTGTCATACAATATTCTTACTGTTGGAAATGACAGTACTAAAAGTATATTCACAAAGAAAATGACCAAGGTATAGAAGAGAAACAGCTCACAGAGGACAGTGCCCTGGATGATGGGTGATACAAGTCAGGGACCGAGGAAACTACACTAAAGTAGAAGTTATTGGGGCTATCCAATCTTATCCCACAACTACTACGTTTATGTTACTGCATATTTGACAGGTGATATGTATATTCTGTTATATCACAAAGACTACAATTAGTTTTCCATCAATTACTTTAACTTCACATGAAATTACAGTAAATAAATATGTCTTCACCACAAGCTATACGTACCACATGTAGTCTAGATCTTCAGGAAGTAGAAGTCTCTCATCTTTTCTCACTTCCTCTATTGCAGCTTCCTGGCTAGTCAAAACATTCTCATAGATAGCTGAAATAATTTTATCAAAAACGGTAAATATTGTCATTTTATTAATAAGGACACTTACCCTTCCTAATACACACGTTTTTCTTCTCATATTTTTTTGTTATTATTTCCATTTTGTGTATATTGCATTTGATGACATGGTATAATTTATATTAATTACTATGTAAACAACAGTATAGATGTGTGTGGCGATGATATGTCAACATCCGATATTGAGACGTAAGTAGGAAATGTGTATATAATGAACCTAATAGAGATGGTACATGTGATGATTAAATGAACATCAGAAATACGGCGTCCAGTACAAAGATACAAATGTTTATTCACGAGAAGACACAGGACATGTGACCAGATGACTTGATGAAGCATATGTGGACAGATGTGGTCTGGGTACAGGCCTCACATGTACATTACATTATATAGTGTGGGTATACATGAGGCCATTATGGTTTCTGCAGCTGAGCATGTTCTATCGTTATACACTCTATCAGATAAATAACTCTTACTACTGTAGTGCAATAACTCTGTGAAATATAGTGTTTTGTAAAATATCGAGATTTCTATAAAAATGCAGGAGTATGGGCCCACATGAGAATGGCATACCACATGATAGCCTCTGGTATATAATGCAATTTTAGGAACATTACTGAAACTCCTTGTAGTTGAGGGTTCAATAGTGTGAAGTTGTAAGTGACTGACCTTGGTATTTATGTGTCCTTTACCTACCTTGATTGTACAAGTTTTCGGTCAGCCTCCAGTTCTGTAGTAAATGTTTCAGTGATTCTGGCTCGGCTTCTATCACCTTTTGTATTGTTATAGAACCTTGCTTCAAAACGTCCCAGAGACTGAAATCCACAAATCATCGAGTCAATGAGAAAAAATAACTCATATCAAATATGGCTTAGAGTAATAGATATTATTCAAGTAGTAATCTATATTCATCATTACAATACTACAGTTACGTAACAGGAAAGGAAGAAATGCAACTACCAGACTAGGATTCCAACCCAAGACCTCCAAACTCTATACAGATGCTGTAACTAAAGGAGTTATATGGTCACTGACAATAGACCCAGTCCAGTTCTGCTACATTTTAAAGGTGTGTCACAGGATATCGACTTGTTTGTGATGTTATATCTGACTTGTTATTATTTACTCTCACAAACCAGATTAACAAATCATTTTCCAGTAAAACACTAAATATAAATAGCTTTCCACTTATGTATTCCATAAAAGCATACCTTTTGGGCATTTCTTTCTTTTGTTGAGGAAGGCCTAGACGTTTGTTCCATTCTGAAGACATCCTTTTTATGGACTTGAGCAAGTCTATGTTCTGATCCAAGTCGTTGTACATGTCCACCATCTTCTGGTACCTAAACTCATCGACACAGCCTGCCCTGTATCCTGTATAACAGAAAACATGCTCTGTATCCTGTATAACAGAAAGCATGCTATGTATCCTGTATAACAGAAAACATGCCCTGTATCCTGTATAACAGAAACCATGCTCTGTATCCTGTCAATTAAACAGAAACTAGGCGCTGTTACTTGTCAGTTAAATAAAATCCATACCAATTACCTGCAATATAGACACCATACATCTGTACCCTGTCAATAAAACAGAAACCACACCCTGTTCTTAATAGATCAGGCCAATACATACAACATATACAGATTTGAGGACATAATTTCTTCTTTACACCAGAAAGACTTGAACATTTCCAACATTGTAAAATAATAATACATAAAAATCTTTAAAACGATGTTAATATGGAATACTTATCTATAATTTTAAAAAAATCAAAAACATGAATTAAACTTTCCCGATGAAACCTGATGGCAGACACTGTAAATGTTTACACTCATTTTTATGGATTTTTTTGCAGAAATTATTGTAATGAAATTCAATATTTATACAAATGTAACAGATTCTGAGGTTACCTTTTTCTGTGAGACGCTTGTCTGCATTATCTGGTCGCAGACTCAGTCTATACTCAGCGCGACTAGTGAACATGCGATACGGTTCATTGGTACCAAGGGTTGTTAGGTCATCCACTAGAACACCTATGTAGCCCTCTGTTCGATCTATTGTTAAACTTGGTTTGTTCTGTACTTTTAGAGCAGCATTAATACCAGCCAGTATACCCTGCAAGTTAAACTTAATTTTAATTTACCATTTTCAATTCTTTCAAACTGTCAATTTCACCAGTGGTGATATACACAAATGTGTAACAAATTTTATAAAAAGTTCCTCAAAAGTTCAAGATCCCACATGAGTCAATACGATGTGTATAAAACTAGCTAGAGACTGCTTCAAAATACTTTGAGAAGGAAATTTGTTTGAGATCTTCTATACAAGCACTAAATTAACTCTCAGTTCTTAGACACTGCAAATTGACAAAATTCTGATGTTTATTCATGAATGTAATGTGAATCCCTTCCTTTGCAGCTTAAATTTTACATGTGTTGTACATTTTCTCACTTTCTTAATATAATTTTCATAAAATTGTAACAAAACAAAAGTGCTTGCTTGCCTTGGTCTTGAGATGAAGGTGCTGTTTTTGACCTTGACCTGTAACTTACCTGTGCTGCTGCCTCTTCATACCCTGTTGTCCCATTGATCTGACCAGCAAAATACAGGTTCTGGATCCTTAAGGTCTCTAGGGTTGTACTGAGTTGTCTAGGGTCTATGAAGTCATATTCTACACCATAACCTACACAACAAAACGTTTGATTTAGGCAATCCAGTTTCCATGTTACTTATCCCCCCTCTGTGTAGTTACAACAATAACTGTGTAGACCAGGGTTTGAACTTTTTGACCTGAGATGAACATGCTTTATTGTAACCTTGACCTAAAGGCTAGAGGAAAGATGCTGACTGTGACCTTGACCTTGATAAAAAACTCCTGATTGTGACCTTGATAAAAAGACTCCTGATTGTGACCTTGACCTTTGATATATTGATCCTTTAAGTGGTATGTATAAATTAAACACCAGCATCATATGTGTAGCCAATTATTTGAGATTATCTTGAATTTAAAGTTATTTCCAGGGCACAACTTATATCTTACTTGTAATTGTTCTACATGTGTCCTCTGATTATATTACTGACTTCAAAATCTAGCATTGTCACAAATTGAATATAATCTTGCTCAATTTTCTTTAGTTTACCCCATTACATATCAGGCCATACAAGAACTGATCTCTCCAGCCCTCTTCAGGACATACAAGACCTCACAAGAACTGCCCTCTAGCGCTCCCATCATTTTATACATGTCTAACAAAAACTGCCCTCTCCAGCCCTCGTCAGTACATACCAGGCTTTGCAAGGACTGCTTTCTCTAGCCCTCGAATACTCTGTATAATCCTGACCTGGTCCTCCTCAGGCATAGTACAGGCCAGACCAGTCGGGTACACCAGCTCATTGTTGAACCCTGCAGCACACACAGTTTCATAACAAATTATAGGTACTTATTATGTTTCAAATCAAAAAATTATCTTTGCATTTTGATGGCCATGCTTAGGTTCAACATAAGAGTGTGTTATTTTACAATGTGTGATCAAAAGTTTGCACTATTTCTTTGTGGCAGTTTCATCATTTTAGTACAAAAAAAAGGAAAATTCAATATTTGCAAAAACTACCCGATATACAGTATTGTGGACATCAATGTATTTTGCATTGTTCTTCATACAGACCTTCAGGTTCCAGCCATACTTGATGAGATCGACCTTTGAACCTCAAGACCTTTGATTCCACAGAGGGACAAAACCTACAAATACACATATGTATATTATTAAACAACGTAAATGTGGTTTAAATTAGATGTATTGATCCTCTGAATAAGGAGTTCAGAATTTTCAGTTTCGTTTTCTTTTACTACTACCCCTCTAGTCTAGACCTTCAATCATTTTGCCAGATATGTTGATGGATACTGAAATTATTTTGGAGGTCAGGCCTTCACCAAACATGACCCTGCTTGTTCCAATGGTGATATTTGTTTAAGCATGCATCCCTGGACACTGGACAAAGATAATTGTTGTTCTTCCACTCATGTACAAATTGCTTTGAATTTGCTTTACACGCTGCTTCGTGACATAGTTATTGCTTTATTTTATTTTAAACAAAAATTCTACTCCAAATTCAGCGTCCTGTAATGTTCTTTTAAATAACAGGTGAACCATAAAAACAGATTACCCTACCTTGGGCCTGTGATTTCCTCCATTACATGACGGTTCTTGTCCAAAGTTTCCAAAACAATTTTATCAACATCTGGATTAGTGCGTGTCATGTGACAATCAAGTTGTTCTTCAGTCTGTCAAAATAAATCAAATTATATAATTTTCTAGATCTTTCTATAACAATGTATTTGAAAGCCTGTATACCTGTTCAAAATAAATGCCATGATTATTTAGATGTTTTATCAAAATGAAGTAAATTTCAAAGGTGTAAAAACTCACTGTGATCCAGACTCTGTCATTGATAAAGGAGAATGGTCTGGGATGGTTGTCTGCCTTTTTGACTTCTGTCTTAGAGAAGTCAATGGTCTTTGCCTCCAGTCTAGGAGGGGTTCCTGTAAGTACAAGGTGACTATTTACTAGTTATTACATGTATTTAGCAAACTTTCCTTCTTCATGTATCTTGTTGGCCACTTCACAGTTTCATTATTTTCATTGTATAATAGGCATGTTTGCCATGAATTCTTAATACGTTTTGATTATTAATTAGTTACTCTTTAGTTTACAGGCTAAAACACACTCTACGATCGACTCCATTGTTTAGCCTAAAACTCTAACTTGTATTAATTAGTTATAAGATTCCAACTCACATCAAATGCAATAATTAGTTTTGAAACAACAACTTACTCTACATTAATATTATCCTCAAACATTTTCAGCCTACAACTTGTTCTACTCAATAGCTGTGACCCTACACTTCATTATTTTGAAATTATTATCACCAAATGTGAAGCATACATCTCTGACAGCTGCTATTGTACGTACCAGTTTTTAGCCTTCCCATGGAGAAGCCAGCGTTCTCAATACTCTTGGCCAGTCCTACTGCCGGTTTATCTCCCATCCTTCCTGCGGCCCAAGTCTTCAGTCCGATGTTAATACTACCCCGTAAGAACGTCCCTGTGGTCAGCACGACTGCCTTACCATAAACCTTGTCACCAGTACCTTTTTATTCAAACAGATGAAGAACAGTTTTACAAAACATGTGATGTTGACATTTTAAACGATTTTTGAAATGGCATTTTTTATTCCTACCTTTATATGTATGTGTTTTAATAATCCATATAATTTTTTTTTTTTTTTTTCCAAAACGCACAATACAGACTTACTCTATACATGTACTAGCAAATTTTCACCCAGTCAAATTGTTGCCCATCGACGGTTAAATCCATTTTCGCATGGAATTGCTATGATATGTTGTTTAGAAATATTCGCTCTAATGATAAATAAAGGTGAAATATTAACTTGCAGGGAAAATTTCCAAGTACGTTGTATACAGTATTATATGTTATAACTTGGGTAAAACTACAAAATCTGGAAATCTACATATAAGGGATTTCATTGCATAATTTTCTAAATGCAAACTGATCCTTTTGGATTTGTATACTCCACAAAAGACCCAATTGCATATAAACCAAACCAGTGTAGTCAAAGAATTTCTTACTCTGAACACTACTAATGGTTGCTGCAATGTTCAGTTTTGACAAGTTTCTTTCTGTACCTGAATCTGATGCCTTCATAAATGATAAACTCCAAAGTTGTGTATCATTTCAATCAGGAAACTGAAAACAGTGACATCCAGGTTTATACCAGTTAGTGTGTACTAACTATATAAAAATGGTGGACTCAGAAATTGATCTGGTGTGACTTCTAGATGGGATCAGGAGGATTTTCTAAATGTCCCCTCAACCCATGCACCCTGGAATCATAAAAGTATATTATGTCATACTTCGACTCTAGCTAATATACAAAGTACACACTTTGACCCCTGTGACACCACAACTTACCCAATGCGACCCCTACACAGGCCTGTTTGGTGAGTTTATGTTGGGGATTGTGTGGTTCTCCTAGGATCAGGTCCTCAACAGGGGAGGCAACCACTGTAAGATTTTCGGTAGCCATGACGTCTTTCTGTAGGTTAGTCTTGTACAGGTGTCTGTCTATCTGCGCACGTAAACCCTGAAATAGGACAGCAAGTAGGTAAGTCCAGGTAATAATTCTGCTAAATCTCACCAACAATAATGACAATGTAGTCATACTCTGTGACTTTTAACTATTTTATTAGGATTTAACTGTATTTTGGTTTCATCATGGCAGTATGGTTGCAGTGAACATTATATTCCGCTATTCTATGAATCATATCAGCACATCATTAACAATACGTATGCAAATCATTATGACTAAATCATAATGGTTGCAACTAATATACTGTACAATTCTATCCAGTTAAGATTTCACTAGCTTTATCCTAATAGAGAAATACAAACAATTTACAATAAATCGTCACCCTGTTAAATCAAAGCCATCTTAGTATGCAATTGCATATACATTACATACAAATTGATGGCCTGCATTATTACATACTTACCCAGACCGCTGGTCCCTTGGTTCTGTTTAATACTTTATAATGAATACCAGAGATATCTGTAAAGGAAACATAGGAAAATTAACTCCCTATTACAGATTTAATTGACAAACGTTTTAAATAAGTAATCTTGAAATTTGATGAAAATTAAAATGAAATTCTTTAAAATGTGTTAAAAGGTGTGAAGTGAAATAACTTAAATGCAATTAATATCAAAAGTTAAATATCAAACTTAATTTTATAAGAGTTAAATTGATGCAAAAGCTCACAGGATGTCCAACCAAATGAAAACAGTTTCAAAATGATATTTACCACAGATGCGAGCACAGACTCCTCCCAGGGCGTCAACCTCAGTCATCAGATGACCTTTACCTATCCCTCCAAACGAGGGATTACACGACATCTCACCTGTAACAGCCATGTCATTTCATTAATTCCCGAAATTATCTCCCTTGTTAATATTAATAATAATTTACAACATTTATACAGTGCCCATTATAATTTACAAAATTAATCAAAGGTGCTTTACAGCACACGAGTAATAGTATGCCTACATTTATAGTTATAAATATAATAGATCAAAAACGGAAAGGCATACAAATCAGCATTTTACATTAGGTAACAAAACCTTTATCTCCATATGCATATAAATATATTTATATATTTTGAGATGGAACTTGCCCCATATATAAAATTGTAAGTAATATGTATCCTACAAACATACTTTTGCAAGGATCCAGTGTTATTCAGGAAGCTACTGTTGATATTACTTCATCGACCCATAGACATATTTATACATGTATAGATATATAGGAAGGTGTGCATATGATGTCTGAGCAAAAGAGTCTAAAATGCAGACATAAAAAGGTGAGTTTTTATATCCATCTTGAATTTAGTCAGTGTTTTTGACTTCCTGGTAGCAGATAGTAAGCTATTCCACAACATGGCGGAAACCCCTCCAAAGCACTGGTTAGCCCTCGGACGAGTTAGCAATGACTTGGGATCACACAGTGCAACATTTCAGGATATGGTTGAATATTTATTTCTATAACAGCACAATTAAAGTACAGCTATTATAACTGTGGAAGTTATCCAGTGAAAAAACCATGACTAGTACTAGAAACAGATTGCATGTATTGCCAAAACACTGAATTGTAAAACGGTTATAAACACAATTACTAACTTCTACATCTAAGCATTACCTATAGTTTCTATCTTGTGAGTAATCAGTAATGTCCGACTGCCGAGTCTTGCCGAAGCACAAGCGGCTTCTGTCCCAGCATGTCCGCCTCCAACCACAATGATGTCATAGTGACCAGAGTCGTTTTCAGCGGTGTGTGATGTCAAAGTTCGCATGGAGTTTATGTGCCGCAGCCAGCGCCATCGCTGAAAGGTCATTGGTATACCTGGAACACGAAAAAAATTAAGATCAATTTCTACATGTTGATAAGACTAATAAGAGTTATGTCATATGGCTGTCACAAGTTGTATCCTAATAATGTTTTACCTTAGTAGATATAGACAAGACAGCTAAGGAGGGAGTCTAGGTGAGATCATTGTTGTTTCTAAATGGGAAGAATATGCCATTTCCTAAATGAAATTTGAGAAAATGTGCCCTAAAGCCACTGAAACCTCCCTGGATATCATATAATGATTATCACATAATAAAGATCCTCATGGTATTGGCTCTGGATCCCTTAAGAAAACAACCAAGGATTTCACTCATATCAGTTGAATTTGTTGAAGTCAGTGAGGACTGTGATTTACATGCGAATAATCTATAAATGGAAATGAAAAACAAGCACCTGAAAGTGAAAAGTATATTTTTTAAAAACGAACAAACATTTATCAACAAATTCCATCTATGTTGAATGGCCGGTATACAGTATGTGTTTCAGAGTGTTTTAGGCTAGCATTTAAAGAAAAGAACAAAACCTTGCACGAAAAAATGTTCCCCACTGGGGATATATGATATCAATCGTATCACTGGTGATTTAATGTGGGTTTTTTAAACATCAAATTAATTATAAAAGAGAGCACACTTTGCTTTACAACAGAAACAGACGTTTTCAAAAGCTTGAGTTTTCACATTCCTGTTAGTGTTTAAAATAACTCAGCCTTTATTATTCATACCAAACCGATGAATCTAAAATTTTCAAAAAAATCTTTAGAACTGAACAATTTTTATGATTATTTTTAATTTGTTGATCATGATGAATTTGTTTTATTTATATGATCTAATAAAATATATTATTCTTGTTTGTTTAATTATCAGTTTTGCTGGATCATGCAATTTGTAAAATTTGTTTTTTAATTTGTTTTTCGATTGGAATCAATCACATAAAATTAACAAGGTAAAACTACCTTTATGTTTTTTAAGCAAATAGTGTCCACTAGTACTGCTGATACATGGGTATCTCCTATGGGCTTTGACAGTGGAAGAAATTGGTGAAGAGATGTGGCCTCCACAAAACTGACTGGGTCAGGAGTCAAACCTATGACTGGTGGGTTTTTTTCTAAATGAAATACATTCTTACGTTTTCAGGGCATACTGCGGATATCTAATTATTTGTTATTGTGATGTGCACACTAATTAACTTATATAATTCACGTTGTCATATGCGATACATTTGCTCCATTTTTATCCTACACGATTTAATGTTAAAATTGAATAATGTAATTTTCATTTTAAACACTCGAAAAAATTATCTACATATTAATACCGAGCCTTGATTAAGAATATCCTTCATATCACAAAATAACTGTCGTATCACGTAGCCAGTTTTGACGGATCGAGGCGTCGAAACTGATGACTCGTTTACTCTGTATATGCATGGATTTTTTTGTCCTGTTGATGACATAGTGTGACATTAGAAAGAATGATTTGAAAAGAGTTGGTGACAATATCATTAACGTCATCATATCACCAATCAATATATTCCTTTTTACTCACGGTGACTTTTCATGGAAGCCGCCATCTTGAACAAAAACTAATATTCCCACCGGGAACCGCATACTAAATCCGGATATTACATCAGATGGACACATCAGGGACGAGAAAAGTGAACCATCATTTCATAGCACATTTGTTTATTTATATAAGTTCAAAAAGAAAGAATTATGAAATTATCTTATTTAAATATTTTATAAAGATATAAATCACTTAAATTTATATATTTTCTATGATATCTTATATATAATTTAATGAAATAAGATCGACATTGCTCCTTGATATACAGGTTAGCGTCTGGTTTTGTTATATCAGTACAAAATGAAAATTATTTGATGTAAAAGGGTACTGGGTCGGGTAAGTGAATTATCAATATTTTGTTATTTTGCTGTGGATTAGGAAAATAACACATACCCACTGAGCTACCATATTGCATCTGTTCCAACAGTTCTCCTATATACTGGAAATTAGTAGGTAATCCAAAACAACAGAAATCACTCTGGGCACTTAATTAATTGTCTCTCACTCGCAGCTTTGATGAATATTTGACAAATCAGTAAATATTTTTTTCTTGGAAGGTTGATCTTCTTTCAGCTTCAACGTTAAACAAGCTGATCTATATACAAATACTTTTTTACAAGTTGACCTTTACAATAGACAGATTGGAGAGTAGAAGTTGACTTCACTGAAGGTTAACTATTTGACATTGATAGTAAGAACAGTAATGACCTTAGCCATTGAGATAACTGTAACCTTGACATTAGAGATCTCCATGTATGTGATGATGCCAGGAAAGAATCAGGTACACATGATCAAGTCTTTAACTATTCTTGTGACCTTGACAAATTGGACAAGTACATGTACATAACCTTGAAAATGGAGACAATGTGACCATGACAACGGCAATCATATTGACTTGACAAAAGATATATTTCTGATCCTGACAAACATAATTATGACCTTGGATTAAAGATGTTTATATGTGACCTTGACAATACAGATAATGGCGATCTCTACACTAGAGCGCATTGTGTCCTTGACAATATAGATAAATGGTGACCTCTACACTGAGAGCACAATGTGTCCTTGACAATATAGATAATGGTCACCTCTACACTGAGAGTGCATTAGATAAATGGTGACCTCTACACTAGGCACATTGTGTCCTCCAAAATATTGATAATGGTGACCTCTACACTGACCTCTGCACTGAGAGTGTATTGTGTTCTTGACACTGAGAGCGTATTGTGTCCTTGACAATATAGATGTCCTTGACAATATAGATAATCATGACCTCTACACTGAGAGGGCATTGTGTCCTTGACAATTTAGATAATGGTGACCTTTACACTGAGAGCGCATTTTGTCCTTGACACTGAGAGCGCATTGTGTCCTTGACAATATAGATAATGGTGACCTCTACACTAGACACATTGTGTCCTCCAAAATATAGATAATGGTGACCTCTACACTGAGAGCGCATTGTGTCCTTGACACTGAGAGCGCATTGTGTCCTTGACAATATAGATAATGGTGACCTCTGCACTGAGAGTGCATTGTGTTCTTGACACTGAGAGCGCATTGTGTCCTTGACAATATAGATAATGGGGACCTCTACACTGAGAGCGCATTGTGTCCTTGACAATATAGTTAATGGTGACCTCTGCACTGAGAGTGCATTGTGTTCTTGACGCTGAGAGCGCATTGTGTCCTTGACAATATAGATAATGGTGACCTCTACACTGAGAGTGCATAGTGTCCTTGACAATATATATAATGGTGACCTCTACACTAGACGCATTGTGTCCTCCAAAATATAGCTAATGGTGACCTCTACACTGAGAGCACATTTTGTCCTTGACAATATACGGAGAGCGCATTGTGTTCTTGACAATATAGATAATCATGCCCTCTACACGGAGAGCGCATTGTGTTCTTGACAATATAGATAATGGCGACCTCTGTACTGAGAGCACATTCTGTCCTTGACAATATAGATAATGGTCACCTCTACACTGAGAGTGCATAGTGTCCTTGACAATATATATAATGGTGACCTCTACACTGAGAGTGCATTGTGTTCTTGACAATATAGATAATCATGACCTCTACACGGAGAGCGCATTGTGTTCTTGACAATATAGATAATCATGACCTCTACACTGAGAGTGCATTGTGTTCTTGACAATATAGATAATGGTGACCTCTGTACTGAGAGCACAGTTTGTCCTTGACAATATAGATGATGGTGACCTCTACACTGAGAGCGCATTGTGTCCTTGACAATATAGATTTAATGGTGACCTCTACACTGAGAGTGCATTGTGTTCTTGACAATATAGATAATNGTGACCTCTACACTGAGAGCACATTGTGTCCTTGACAATATAGATAATGGTGACCTCTACACTGAGAGTGCATTGTGTCCTTGACAATATAGATAATGGTTACATCTACACTGAGAGCGAACTGTGTCCTTGACACTGAGAGCGCATTGTGTCCTTGACAATATATATAATGTAGACCTCTACACTGAGAGTGCATTTTGTCCTTGACAATATAGATTTAATGGTGACCTCTACACGGAGAGCGCATTGTGTCCTTGACACTGAGACCGCATTGTGTCCTTGACAATCTAGATTTAATGGTGACCTCTACACGGAGAGCGCATTGTGTACTTGACAATATAGATAATCATGAACTCTACACTGAGAGTGCATAGTGTCCTTGACAATATATATAATGGTTACATCTACACTGAGAGCGCACTGTGTCCTTGACACTGAGACCGCATTGTGTCCTTGACAATATATATAATGGTGACCTCTATACTGAGAGCTCATTGTGTCCTTGACACTGAGACCGCATTGTGTCCTTGACAATCTAGATTTAATGGTGACCTCTAAACTGAGAGTGCATTGTGTTCTTGACAATACAGATAATGGCGACCTCTACACTGAGAGTGCTTTGTGTCCTTGACAATATATATAATGGTGACCTCTACACTGAGAGCGCATTGTGTCCTTGACAATATAGATTTAATGGTGACCTCTACACGGAGAGCGCATTGTGTCCTTGACAATATAGATAATCATGACCTCTACACTGAGAGTGCATTGTGTTCTTGACAATATAGATAATGGTGACCTCTGTACTGAGAGCACAGTTTGTCCTTGACAATATAGATGATGGTGACCTCTACACTGAGAGCGCATTGTGTCCTTGACAATATAGATTTAATGGTGACCTCTACACTGAGAGTGCATTGTGTTCTTGACAATATAGATAATGGTGACCTCTATACTGAGAGCACATTTTGTCCTTGACAATATAGATAATGGTGACCTCTACACTGAGAGTGCATTGTGTCCTTGACAATATAGATAATGGTGACATCTACACTGAGAGCGCACTGTGTCCTTGACACTGAGAGCGCATTGTGTCCTTGACAATATAGATATAATGGTGACCTTTACACTGAGAGCGCATTTTGTCCTTGACACTGAGAGCGCATTGTGTCCTTGACAATATAGATTTAATGGTGACCTCTACACTGAGAGTGCATTGTGTTCTTGACAATATATATAATGGTGACCTCTATACTGAGAGCGCATTGTGTCCTTGACACTGAGAGCGCATTGTGTCCTTGACAATATAGATAATGGTGACCTCTACACTGAGAGCGCATTGTGTCCTTGACAATATAGATAATGGTGACCTCTACACTGAGAGCGCATTGTGTCCTTGACAATATAGATAATGGTGACCTCTACACTGAGAGCGCATTGTGTCCTTGACAATATAGATAATGGTGACCTCTACACTGAGAGCGCATTGTGTCCTTGACAATATAGATAATGGTGACCTCTACACTGAGAGCGCATTGTGTCCTTGACAATATAGATAATGGTGACCTCTACACTGAGAGCGCATTGTGTCCTTGACAATATAGATAATGGTGACCTCTACACTGAGAGCGCATTGTGTCCTTGACAATATAGATAATGGTGACCTCTACACTGAGAGCGCATTGTGTCCTTGACAATATAGATAATGGTGACCTCTACACTGAGAGCGCATTGTGTCCTTGACAATATAGATAATGGTGACCTCTACACTGAGAGCGCATTGTGTCCTTGACAATATAGATAATGGTGACCTCTACACTGAGAGCGCATTGTGTCCTTGACAATATAGATAATGGTGACCTCTACACTGAGAGCGCATTGTGTCCTTGACAATATAGATAATGGTGACCTCTACACTGAGAGCGCATTGTGTCCTTGACAATATAGATAATGGTGACCTCTACACTGAGAGCGCATTGTGTCCTTGACAATATAGATAATGGTGACCTCTACACTGAGAGCGCATTGTGTCCTTGACAATATAGATAATGGTGACCTCTACACTGAGAGCGCATTGTGTCCTTGACAATATAGATAATGGTGACCTCTACACTGAGAGCGCATTGTGTCCTTGACAATATAGATAATGGTGACCTCTACACTGAGAGCGCATTGTGTCCTTGACAATATAGATAATGGTGACCTCTACACTGAGAGCGCATTGTGTCCTTGACAATATAGATAATGGTGACCTCTACACTGAGAGCGCATTGTGTCCTTGACAATATAGATAATGGTGACCTCTACACTGAGAGCGCATTGTGTCCTTGACAATATAGATAATGGTGACCTCTACACTGAGAGCGCATTGTGTCCTTGACAATATAGATAATGGTGACCTCTACACTGAGAGCGCATTGTGTCCTTGACAATATAGATAATGGTGACCTCTACACTGAGAGCGCATTGTGTCCTTGACAATATAGATAATGGTGACCTCTACACTGAGAGCGCATTGTGTCCTTGACAATATAGATAATGGTGACCTCTACACTGAGAGCGCATTGTGTCCTTGACAATATAGATAATGGTGACCTCTACACTGAGAGCGCATTGTGTCCTTGACAATATAGATAATGGTGACCTCTACACTGAGAGCGCATTGTGTCCTTGACAATATAGATAATGGTGACCTCTACACTGAGAGCGCATTGTGTCCT